TTACCTCTAGATGTTTTTGATGGTAAGATGGGAAAAAATAATCCACGTGGTGGTGCAATGATCGCCCGAATGAAGCCAAAGTAATTTTGAGGTTCATCAAAATCTTTGTTAATTATATTGGGGTGACCGAGGGGGTATGAGCAGGTGGCGTTCACAAATGGATACAGAGAARAAAAATCTTGAAAGATAATATTCTCATCCGGTTCCGCCGTGTACTTTAATTTAACAGCGCACGTTCTTCCTCCGAAAAGAGCATCCCGTGGTGAGAGGGGAGCAGGAGCCTGAAATTTCTGGAGGAAACATTTTAATTCGGGGTTTGTTTGTTTCATTTGAGTCCACTCGTGCTCCCAAATAACCTGAACCTGGACACCATGGACTGATTTCAATGCCTGTAATTTTTCAATGGTGGTATTGTACAGCTCTGCAAATGGAACGTGTCTTAGAGGACATTTTTCAAGAGGCGAAAAGCAGTTTGGACATCCGTGAAAAAAACAGCCGAGAAATGCAAAGGCGTATTTCACACCCTGAAATTCTGCATAACCGTCTACAAAAAAAAACCTGCCCAAACTGCTTTTCACCTCTGTTTAAAGCATGTTGAATAATCATTTTTTTTGGAAAACGCCAGCCACTCTAACCATTGCACAGACAAGTTTGAAAATGTTTTACATTATCTAACGTAGTTCACAGGAGACGGAATAGCGAGTGTATTCGGTTTCAAAAAATTGCTGAGAAAAACAGACACGCACGCGCCGGCAATAGTGATTTTATTAAACGGATCAATATGACTCTGTTGGAAAAATTGTTGTCTGAATTTAATGCAACCTCGGAAAATAATTTCAACACCGTTTCTACAATAAAAAAGAGCTTCTTTTTCAAAATTGAACGTTTTTTGAGACACTTGCGTGTACCAAGTGTCAAATTTCTCTCGTTCTGTAGGTGACATTTTTTCCACACCATAATCACCAGGTGGAGGAAATGCACCTACATATTTCAAATGCTGCTCAGAGGAAAATTTGTGGGGAATAAAATCTTTTGAGCTATTTGAAAAACCCAGAGCCTTGGGCACGGCTGACAGTTTCATGCCGAGAAAACTAAGACTGTCTATAAACCTTAGATTAAAATCAGGTTCGGTGAAGCACAATATTTTACTGCCTTGCATTACGATTGCRGGTTTTATTCCAAGCTTCACCATCACATTCAGGATGAGATAGGAATCAAACCCACGAGCATTGTGTGCAATAAACGTAAAATTCCGAAACAAAGGTCTTCTGAAATACATGTAGGGGTAACCCTGGTGAAAAAAACTTTTCTATTGTTTTTTTTGTTTTGTCTTTGATTTTATTTACACTTATAAGAAGAAAATCATTTTAAAGTGTTTTTACTTTCTTTAAG